AGATGACGCCACATGGGCAGTTGCCCAGGGGACACAGTGCTTGCATCTCCTGAATGGGTGGCCTTATAAGGACAGGTTCAAGAGGAGAGTGGGCAGGAGGGAGGGCCACCAGCAGTGGCAGCAGCCTTGGAGGCTGGGAGTGGGTGCCCCCACCACTGGGCAGAGTATGGAACCAGCAGGCATTCTTGGCCAGGACTTATTCTGCAGGGGAGCTGGCCAAATGCAGCCCCAGGAACCCTGCTACCCTCCACCCTACCACCCTCCCCCCGCCATCATCAGCCCAGGCAGCAACCTGTGCTACAGCAGCCTCGCAAGCCAGCCCAACTCTGGCAGCTCACTGAAGGATTGAGACCATTTCCTGTTTTGTTTTGCTTTGTTTTTTTCCATCCACTTTCCCCTGACCCGTGCCCAGCTGGTAAGCTAAGCAATATAGTTATGTATAGTGGGAGAATTGGTGAATGTATTACAAAAACAAAAACAAAAGCAAGCAAACAAGCAAGCAAAAAAACCCAGGGTCTTATGTAGCCCAGGTTGGTGTCAGACTCTAGCTGTAGCTGAGAATGATTTCTGATTCTCTTGCCTCTACCTCCCCAGTGCTGGCGTTGCCAGCATGAAACCCTACTCCTGGTTTATGTGGTACTGGAGTTTGGATCCACAATTTTGTGAATGTTAGGCAGGCATTCAACCAACTGGGCCACACCCTAACCATATCCTCTGAACCAAATGAGTTGTTCTTTGGTGGCAGTTTTGACTCGTGACCTGGACAGCAGCTCCTGGAGGAGTGGGGAAGGGGGATTAGATGGGGGAGTGGGGTGGGGGGCAGGACAGGGGACTATACTCTTAGAGAGTCCTGGTTGCCCAAATGTTCCTGTGACATCAGCATACATAGGAACAAAGGTTTGGTCGCTAAGATCTGAAGGAGAGATGAGTGTCCCCAAGGTGACCCTTCCTCATTAGGAAAGACTCCTGTGATCCCCTGAGATCCAGATCCTCCTTACAGTAGGACTCATGGTCAAGGTTGAAAAGCTGGGTTCTGACCTTCCCTTGGCTATCTTTCACTGTACCTAACACCTCATCATAGTCTAAGGTCAGCAAAGAGCCATGTTCTCTCTGTGGGGACCAGCTGAAACTTCTCTAACAACAGGCAGACAGGAGGATGGAGTGGTGGGGGTACATGGAAGATTTGAACCCAGGGAATGAAGGGAAGGTCCTGGAAGAGATCCAGGGCTGTGTCCACCCCAACCAAGATCTAGGGGGTGTGCCTCTCCTCTGTTCCCTGCATGCTGAGGTCAAGGCTGAGAGGAGGCTGTGGCAGCACTTCGGCCAGCACTCCTCCCATGGCAAAAGAATCTTGACAGCTGCAAGAGACAGACTCACATTGAAGCAAGAGCAGAAAGGCTCCCCAAAGGAGAGAGGGGAGCTACACTATGGCACCCTAGACTTGCCTAGCCCTGGCCTCTGGGAGGGCCTGCCCTGTCTGCACATCAGCCAGTGGAACTAGGAACTCAGGACCACACAAAATCCCTGCCTCACTCTCATTCCTTTCTAAAATAGGAATGCCCCATGCATGATATATGCACGGTTTGTAACAATTCATCACGGATTATATGGGGAAAGCATCGTGCCCGTGAGGCAGCCTGAATAATGATCCCCCCAAGGGGTTCTGTCCTAATTCCTAGAACCTGTGAACCTGTCATTTCCATGTAGGATGGACTTGCATGTGGCTTGGACTAGGCACTTTGAGAAGGCAGATCATCCCGGGTTAATCTCATGGCCCAGGATAATCATCAGGGTACTTCAGAGGAAGTGGCCAAGGGTAAGTTAGACAGAGGACATTTTGCATTTTGTCCCTAAGGACACAATGAGCTTGAGGGCTCAGCCTGAAGTGGCTTCTAAGACAAGTGTCCTGTCAGGTTGGGGGCCTTACTTCTTTACCCCGATGGCATTCATCACCCAGAGTACTTAGAGGGGACTAGAAAAGGAGAAGACAGTGAGGTGATGAGAAACAAGACTGGATCTGCTATTTGAGCTAGGCTTGGCTCTGCCTGGGGCTTGGACTGTACTATCTTTGCGATCGACCCTGTAGGGGTCATTGTATCCAGAGTCTGACTTCAGGTAGCCTGTGTGTTTCATCTGCTGATACCTCAGGAGTCACCTGACCCATAATATGAATCATAGAATGCCATTTTCCCAGAGGGTCCTTCCATAGTCCTTTATTTTGGATGCTTTCTTCAACTCTGCTGATCAGAGAGGTGTGGTCCCTGGGGGAAAGAATTGTCCAGGGATTCTGAGTTCGGGTACAGAATGCTATCATGTTTCCTTCTGTAACTGTGGAAATGAATGAGAAAACCAAAGACATACCTAACCCACAGTTTGAGAGGCTCTAGCCGCCAGTCGCTAAGTTCTGTTGTTTGGGGGCCATGTGAGACAGAGCATTGCGGTGGGGGAGTCTCGAATCCTCTCCAACGACATGATGGAACTCCTTTCCTCCTGGCCTCACTTCAGTCTCCACCAGCACCATGAGCTAGAAACTCAGTCTTTAACATGTGATCCTTTAAGGGATGTACGTGTAAGCAGCCGGTAAGGGCTGACGTCCATTAAATGATGGGAGAATGAACAGAGAAGGGTGGCGGCTATAGAACAAGGGAGAAGATATATGTGAACAGGCTGGTGGATACAGTGACCCTGATTCTAAAAATAGCTTGCAAGTACTGGAAAAAGTGAATCAGGCTTTAAGCAGAAGCAAGAGGGTAGTGGGCTTGATTCTTGCTGGTATAACAGCTTTAGTTACATTAATTGCTAGCACCACTGCTTCTGCAATTGCTGTGACACAAGGAGTTAAGACAGCTACTTTTGTTAATCATTTAGCAAAAAAATGTTACTAATGGGCTGAGTATACAAGAGGATTTAGATAGGCATTTGGAAGAACGGATTGATGCTCTTTATTCTATTCAAATTACTGGAAGGAGGTTCAGAATTTAAGGGTAAGGAGCCATCTTGAGTGTCATGCCAAATACCATTGGATTCATGTTAGTTCTAAAATTTACAGTTGTAGTCATTATAATTAGGAAGTTAAATGACACTTGCAGTGTATTTGGCATAATTCTAACACCTCTTTGGATGTTTTAAAGATACAGAGAGAGCTTATGAATTTCAAGAATGCTGCACTGCTGAGTGTTGATGTGGTAGATACTGCAGATAAAATTACTCATGGCCTGAGGTCAGTATTTCTGTTTTGGTCAAGCTTCAAAAATGGCATATATAGCTTGATCACGCTAGCCCTTTTTGTCCTGGGAATACTTTTATTCCTGCCCATTGTGTTAAAGCTTTTCTTTAACAACATCAACATGTTGGCAGCCAAGTACATGGCTTGAACATGAAAATGGACCCCCAGACAGAGTTACTAAATTAACAGGCTGGCAAGCCAAGGATGGGTAAGATTCTGCACAGAGCCTTACAAACCTAAGACAGAAATGCCAGAAGCATCCTATGCACGATCCCACTCAACAGGCATCACTGAAAAGTTTTAGCATGTAGTTTATGAATGAGAAAAACTGAGGCACAGAGAAGATAAGCAACTCTCAAAAGATCACACAGCTAGTTAGCTATAAGGCTGAACTCGTAGCTCTGTCTGAAGTCAGAGTCTATGACTCAAACTTTATTTTTCCACCTCCTAAAAATAATTAGTTAAGAGGGTGTGGCTTAAGAGGCATCTACAGTATAGATCCTACAGGCAGTTGATGACTGAAGGAAAGAGAGATAGCTTCCTCAGTAATGTAGCTACTGGTAAGTTCTCCATGCTCCTGTAGACAACCCAAATTAAACTTATAAAGTCATTATATAAATGAATGCAATAAAAAAAACTAGGAAATGAGTATTGCAAACTAACCATTTTTTATTTGTCATCAAGCAATAGTTTCCCAGGGATGGGAACGGAAGGGTCTGTGGCAGGAAGGAAGCATGGCAGTGGTGAGACTTGTGGGTCACCTCTCTCACTCAAAGCCTTACTACAAGTGGCATCTGAGCCAGATTAACTTAGCTAGAACAAGAAAAGCCTCAGGTCTGCCATGGCATCTCAGTGTTCGCACTTCAGTTTTACTGTCTTTTCCAAGTCAGTTTGTTTTTGGCAATAGAATCATAGCCACCGTCATGCTCTCTGGCTGATTTTCCCAAATGCTTCTCTGTGCATTGCCTCCAACTTATTAAAAGCAAGGGATTATTTTCAATGCGATTTCAAGCTGAGTGGTGTTGAAACTTAGTGGAAAGGGCAAAGAGGCTCCGTAGGCCTCAGGGGACCTGGGTAACTGTCCCAAACTTGCTGTTTCAGCTTGCAGAGGTCCCCAGTTCACAGCTGAACAGGGGAGTGAAGTGCTGACAGACAAGGGCACACTTCTTGGGTTTTCCACAGACCTGGGCTCCAGCTTGATTTATAGACCAAAGAGAATGAGAGAGAGTGTGAACCCTAGAACATTGGGTTGGCTGCAGTCAGAGGCAGGGCACTAGCTCTTTGGCCTCTGACCTCTGCTTGCCTGAGTCACAGGCCACTCCATGGGTTTGTCCTCTCAGTCCCTGGAGGTCTGTTAAACAGAGGCTTGGGGTGGCTAGAAACAACTGTCACGCAGATCTCCCCAGTCCCACCACAGTCTCCACTTCCTGCCTCTAGGAAGTGAGAGGAGGTTTGATATTGACTGCTGCTTTGTCCTCTGTGCTTCGAGGTGAGCATGCTATACTGTTAGTCTTATTAGTTATGTTGTTAATGTTGTTGTTTTTGTTTTGTTTTTGAAGTAAGTTTTCTCCGTGCAGCCCTGGCTCTCCTGTAATTCTGTAGACCAGGCTAGACTCGAACTCAAGAATCTGTCTCTGCCTCCTGAGTTATGGGATTAAAGGTGTGTATCACCACACCTGGCTTTGGTCTTGTTAGGTTTTGTTTATTTTACTTTATTTATTTTATTATGGTCACTGTTTTTGTATTTTTAAGACAAGGTTTCTCAATGTAACCCTAGCTGTCCTAGAACTCACTGTGTAGACCAGGATGGCCTTGAACTCGGAGATCTACCTGCCTCTGCAGCCCTAGTGCTAGGACTAAAGAAGAATGCCACTACCAGTGGCATTATCTTCTGATACAGTTGGGATGGGTGGCAGTTCTGGTACTTCACCGTCAGCCATGCATCAAACAGTGTCCTGGCTTGTCACTGGGCACAGGCTACCAGCTCCTCCAGAGCTTGTTCACGCTGATTGCCGTGGACCAACAGCACCTCTTTGATCCGGTCTTGCTGGAAGCCCATGTCACTGAACTGCTGCCAGAGGCGCAGGAACTCCCCTGCCTGAAGAGGAGGCACAAAGGGCGCTTTATTACTCCTGAGTATCTCCATCTCTGGTGCCTACTGACCCTCAAACCATTCCGGAAAACTGTGCTCCCTTCACTAGGGAAACCTAACCCTGGGTCAATGCCTGTCATCTTCCTCTTCCTCTGAGGACGTGCGGAAAGAAGGCGTCAGCCTTGATGAGGTGCCATCATGTGGCTCACTCTGGGCTCCCTGTGATTGGTATTAGAACAGCAGCTCCAGGAGGATGCACAGGGCAAGCCAGGGGTGTCACCTGTGAGCTGGCAGTGCTGGGTTCCACCCAGCTCAGCCTCTGCTGAAGACTCCCCCTGAGTTTTCCTCTCCTGGTTGACACCCAGTCCTTCATGTAACCCCCAGCTCTGTGAATTGCTGTCATATTACTCCAGTAGGAGCTATCATGGTACATGTTACTTTCTGAGCACCTGTAGCTCCCTGGATGCTGAGGGCAGCAAACTCCCTGAGTTCAAGCATCTTCAGACCGTTCCTATATGGAAGTCTTAAAAACAGCAGACGTCCAGTGATATGTGTTGTGTTGATTCAGTCACCTACAGCAAAGCCCCTGCTCCTCCAGCCTCCAGTTCCCTCTCTACCTCTTTATTCCCCGTCTTCTACCTTTGGCTATGCTCTACTTCTCTAGGTTGGTACTTTCTCCCCAGTGTGAGCAGGCCAGTCCACATGCAACTCTGGGGCCACTGCACCCTTGTACCCTATGCTCCCATTCCCTGGGGACAAGCAAGGGGCCCAGATGACCTGATGCTCAGAGAACTGGAACATCTCCATGGCCTCGTCCACCAGCGCCTCATCGTAGCCCTGCCGCAGCAGCCGATCACAGGCACTGAGGTAGCCAAGAAACTGGGCCAAAGAGGGCAGAGACAGAGAGACAGTAAGAGGAGTGTCAGAGGCATGCCGGGGAACCACCCAAGGGTCTCACTGAGGCCACACATACTGGACAACCCGTCACGGGTAACAGGAAGCCAACAGAATCGGAACAGGCTTCCGTTGAGAACCAGCAGAAGAGTGATAGCAGCTCTTCAATAAATTTCCTAAGCTGAGGAATGTTCACAGAGCCTAAGAGGGGTCCAGGACAGGCTTTAAGCAAGTAACTCAACCTCACCTCAGCCACCACATATACCACCACCAGCTTAGCCATCCTTCTCAGAGGAGCACCCACCCTCCCTCTTCCTCCACAGACACACCTGTCACCTAGGATGAGTGAAGTTCACACCAGGCCTCAGTCTGTACCAGAGTTGGGGGGCGGGGCTGGGAGTGGAGAGTGACAGGAAGTTTCTCCTGGCTCTGAAACTTGTTCTAATCATCCCCTGATTACATCATAGGTAGGGGGTGCTTCTTTTGCCTTCAGGGCTGGCTGCCTACATAGGGAGCTTGAGGTTAGCCAGTAATATAGTAAGACCTGACTCAAAACACAAACAACAACCCCACCTTCCCCAACTAAGTGTTGCCTTAAGCTAAGTTGGTAGAGTGTTTGCCTATTGAGTATGAGGTTCAGTCCCCAGCACCATATAACTGGTGCAGTGGGGAGGTGGAAGCAGGAGGGTCAGAAGTTCAAGGTCAAGGCTGAGGAGCTGGCTCCATGGGTAAGAGTGCTTGCATCACAAATGTGAGGACCTGAGTTCAAGTGCCCAGCCCCCACATAAAAATCTGGATGGTGTCACATGCCAGCCTAAAACCTCAGCATTGTTGTCGGCCAACCTAGCCCTGGGTTCAGTGGGAGATCTTGTCTCAAGGGAACAGAGCAGAGAATGACAGACCAGGATATTTTCTCTGGTCTCTAATGCACTCCTGAGTGTCTGCACATATGGACACATATGCACAAATACTACACTAGACCACACACACAGACACACACACACACACACACACACACACTAATAAGTTAGAGATCACTCTTAGCTACAAAGTGAGGTGAGTTTGAGGCCAGCCTGGCCACATGAAACTATGTCTCCAAAACAAATGTGCTACCTTTCACCACACCCTGTCCTGCCCACAGCCTCAGCTTCCTCCCTTTCTCGAAGCCTCTGTCCAACTCCCCATTCAAGGCTGGCCTCATTCTCCTCCCAGGAGGGCCTCTCTGCAGACTCTGTCTGGGCCATCCTTGGGGCTCCTAGGCTCCACCCACTCACGCTCCTAGGCTCCACCCACTCACGCCTTTGCTCTGTATCTGTGCCCACTGACTTCTGTCCCACAGTGGGAGGTTAGTCAGTCACCACTGCACCAGCGGTGGGTCGGGGGAGTTGTCAAGGGAGCACGATAAACACGCTATGTGCATAAAACAAATCGAGAATTACCGTCAAGGAACTCACAGCTTAGTGGAGGAGATAAACCAGACATAGGGGACTGCGCCAGTGCTGGGCAAATCAAAGCAGGGTTTATAGGGGACAGGTGCCAGCCAAAGCCTCTAGGCCGTGAGAACCATGTGTGTGTCTGGGAAGGAGGAGGTTGGGTTTCCGCTGACCTTCAGGGTTGGCAGGAGCACAGATCGTCTAGCCATGTGGTTTTCAAACTCTTGGAGCTCTTGGTCTGTTTGTCCCAGCACAGGAAGCTTCAGCAAGCAGCAGCTAAGAGCAGGCTGCCTGGAGCTGGAGGGCAAATGGCTGCAGAAGCACAGAGCCGAGTGCTCCTGAGAGAGAAACTACAGGACACCCGGACCTGGCTCTGAGCACATTTTGAAAGCCATTCACCCCAACCCCTTTCGCAGCTGAGGATATGGAGGGCCTGACAGAGCTGACCAATTGTCAAAGAGCCTTAGAAAGAGGCTCTGTACCACTGACCTCTCAGAGCCTCTCGGTCACTCTGACCAGCTGCTGTGGGCTACAGGAGGGGATCTGAGCTGGCATGACAGTAGACAGGGACTCAGGAAAAACTGTCACCTCCAGACAGAGGGAGGGTGGATGGGGGCAGATGGTGAATGTTCCTTCCCAGCCCATGTTCTCAGACTTGGTGCCTACTGTAACCATTCAGGGAGCTTTGGAAGCTACTGATAGGGTCTCACCAGCAGAGAGTTTCGTGTAACTGGTTTCAGAGCCTGCACTTTGGAAAGTCTTATGCCTTTCCAGCTGATTTGTTTCTTCTGTTTCTTTTGAGACAAGGTTTCTCTCTGTCGCCCTGGCTACCCTAGAACTTGCTCCGTAGACCAGGCTGGCCTTGAACTCAGAGATTCACCTGCCTGTACCTCCTGAGTGCTGGGATTAAATGCGTGCATCACCGCCACCCAGCCCAACTCTCCAGGTAATTTTAACTTTAAAAGCCATTTACTTATAGCTGTGCATGGTAGTACACACCTTTAATCCCAGTAAGGGAGGCAGAGGCAGGAGTTCCAGGCCAGCCTGGTCAACATAGCAAGTTTTTGGTTTTTTTTTACCAGCCAGGAGACTCTGTCTCAAAAATGCTTTATTTATTATTATTGTGTGTGTCTGATGTGTGGTGGAAGGGGAAGAACACTTGCATGCTATGTGTAGACACCAGAGGATCTGATCAATTCTGAACCAATTCTCTACCCGCCTTTACTAGCCCAAATCCTCTGGCTTTCTCTTTTATCTGCTGAGTCCTATCAATGCCCTTCCAGGGGATTCTAATGTGCAGCCAAGTCTGCAAATCACAGGCTCAGTAAAAAGCTGACTCCCGTGTGCCGTGCCAAACTCCTTGTCAGGACCATCTGCAGATCCACTGATGGATCCTTAGGGACCAGGCCTGGGGAGCTGCGTTTGTAGATTCTACTGCTCAGTCAGCTTCAGGGCCTACGGGACTGTAGAAGCTCCCAGGCTTGCTTCAGGCTCAGGGTAGATAAGGATGACACCTTCAGACCCCAAGATAAAGCCGCAGGAGTTACTGATTCCAAACATATATCTCTCAAAGAAACCTTCAAAGGGAGCCTGGTTTATCTGGTGTCCCTTAGCAGACCTGCATGCACTTGACCCATGAACCGACTCCTATGTCACTCATGCCTGTCCTGCAGGCTGAAGTGGCCACATCAGGGCTGGGAAGGGAGAGAGGGAGGGGAGGGAGAGGGAGGGAGGGGGAGGGAAGGAGTGAGCAATGCCCACAGCTTGTTTCCATATTTCTCTAAGTCTCCGTAAGCCAATGTCCTCACCTGTCATTTATGTAGGCCAGAAGGAACTTACTAACCAAAATGCCTTTCAAGGGGAAAATGATCCAAACTAATAGGTGCTGGGAACTGGTTCTAATGCTTTGTCTTAATTCAGTTCCAAAAAGCCGTTCTTCCAGATGTTGAGAGTCCCTGCCCCCAGCTGGCTTTGATTGGTAATAAAGAATTGCCTTACAGCCAATGGCTGGGGCAGGGAGACAGAAGTGGGACTTTTAGATTGCCCTGGACCAGGAGAGAGAGAGAGAGACTGAGAGAGAGAGAGAGAGAGAGAGAGAGAGAGAGAGAGAGGAAGAAGAAGAAGAAGAAGAAGAAGAAGAAGAAGAAGAAGAAGAAGAAGAAGAAGAAGAAGAAGAGAGAAGAGAGAAGAGAGAAGAGAGAAGAGAGAAGAGAGGGAAATCACCATGACTGGGAAAGAAAAAAGAGCAGACTTAAAGGCCCACCACCACGTAAGAATCTGGGAAAGTGGCTCTAGAGACCATTCCCCCTAATTATGTTTGGGGTAGCAAGATGAAATATAGATTTTAAAAGATGCTAACTCAGGGATACTGGAGGGGAGTGTGCGCTAGCCCCGGGGAGGTATAGAAGTGCCCAGCCATTGAGCTAGTCAAGACATATAAAATTATCAAAATTAGCTGGTGTGTGAGTGTGTGTTTCATCCGTGAATCCAGAACTCTTGGGCAGGTGCAGCGTGTGCTCATGATGTGCTGGGAGCCTAAGCAGGTTAACTAATTCACCATTACAAAAGGTGAGGAAGTGTTACCTGCCACGGGGCCAGCTTCCCAACTACAAAGAATCCTGATGTTTAGAAAAAAAAAAACAAAAACAAACAAACCGGTGTCAAGCTGAGCTGGCACAGTGGGAGGGGGGTGGATTAAGGGAGTGGCATTCACCACCACAGTCCTCCCACAAGCCCTTTTGTCTATTGGGTCATGTATCAAAGTTCTGATCTAGGATTCAAAGTACCCCTAATTGACCCCCAGTTTCCTTTCTTATCCTCAGTCCCAAGAGCCTGCCTCTCATCCCTCCCACAGATAGGCTGGTTAGGCTTGTTAGGTAGCACCCTGTATTGTCCCTGTAATGGCAGCCCTGGTTATCTCAGAGTCAGAGCTCCTCTAGCCTTGAAGTCCACATCAGTGTGCAGAACGCCCATGAGAGCTTTGCTGAGCTTGGGAACCTCTGTGGTAGACTGACAACGGATACGGTTCTTTCGTATCCTCTCCAATCACAAGGTTGAATTGTTTTCTACCCCTTAAATCTGGACTGGTCTATGAGGTAGAAATGACTAGGTACTATGTGAAGGCTAGGCCCAGGTGACCTTGAAGCATTTGCTCTTATGCTCTTAGAACTAACTGGACTAGTTTTCTGAAGAAACGTGGCCTAGTTGGCAAGTATCACCAATCACTGGATTGAGGCAGCCGTCCTAACTGAATCTGCAAATATCATGTAGAAGTAAGAGACTGTCTAAAAAGATGTAATCGTATCTGGGGAAGATACCTGAGGCTGACTTATTTACGTATGGCCCTTTACATGTATTTGCATACACACGCACACTAGCACATACATGAGCAAATACACATATACATGTTCTCTTAGAGATTGTCCTATTGGACCATTCTAGCGAGGTTCTTGAGACTGCTTAAAGCTTCAGGCTCCTGAATTTGGTGCATGGACTAGGATAGAGGTTTGACTATGGAGATCCTTAAATGGCCATAGGGATTCCTTGGGAAGTCCTGGGGAGGAGGGAGCAATAAGGCCTAAAAATTCTATCACTAACTTGGTAATTTGTGCCAAGTTGAGGTTCTACCTCTAAAGAGATGGAAGAAAGGACTGGGGTTCTAGATCAGTGGGACAGAGCTTGCCTACTATGTACAAGGCCTTGTGTTGTCCCCAGCACTGAAAGAGGGGACACAGGAGAGGGGGTGCAAGACCTTTTACAAGTTAGAGATAAAAAGCCATTTGACCTTTCCTGGCTCTGGCCTGCAGCCCCTCAGCCCTGGGCCCACTCACCTGGCTCAGGCTCTGTCTCCCTGTCTTCTGCAGTGCCAAGATGGCTCTTCCCAGGGGATAGCCCAAGGCGACCACTGGCCCGATGAGGTCTTGCTCCTCTTTGGTCAGGGCAGACAGCAGGTCAGGTGCTGAATCAGGATGCAGCCTACAGGAGACGAGGGGCTGGGGTGTCTCCCTAAGAGGTGGCAAGCAGGTGTATGGGCTGAGGGACTGAAATACAGACAGGACAGCATGTCAGTAACCACAGGAGGTCACAGTCAGCTGGGCTGAACATCTTAAGATGTCCTACTTTCTACACTGTGGAGAGCTTTGGGTCCTGCAGGCCCCAGCTCTCAGTCTCTGTTCCCTTTCTCAGATGTCAACAGAGCCATCTTAGAATGACTTCATCAGACTGTTAGGAGGCATAAATCAGAGCGTGAGCAAGGTGATTAATTAGCAAATGGCCCAGCATGCAGAAGCTGTCAGCAGAAGCTACTGTTTCACTTAGTGCTTGTAACACTGCAAACGAAATATGATCAGTTAGCCTAGATGTGGTGGTATGTGCCTGTAATCATAGCTCTTCGGGAGCTGAGGCAGGAGGATTGCTTGACTCCAGGAATTTAAGTTGAGCCTGGGTAGTATAGTGAGAGGTCAGATAAGGAAGAAAGACCAAAGGACAGACAAAATGTATAGCTCGGTTGGTAGCATGCTTGCCTAGAACACACAAGGTCCTGGGTTCAGTCCTTAGCACCTTAGCATCTCATTCACAGAGTTTGGCAGTGTATATCTGTAATCCCAGATGCAAAAGGATAAAAAGTTCAAGGTTATCCTCAGCTACTTTTACATAGCAAGTTTGAGGTCAACCTGGGCTATATAAGTTCCTGTCAGAGAAAGAGAGAGAGAGAGAGAGAGAGAGAGAGAGAGAGAGAGAGAGAGAGAGAGAGAGAATATGAATGTCACAGATTGAAAGCTAGGTTCAGAGAAGCCAGTGACACAGTGTATATTTGTGACATGAACCCACCTTGAGGCCCAGTATCTTAGTGAGAGGGACCCTCTCCCCAACACACTATAGTTTGGTTAAGCTAGGCCCAACAGGACAGAATGCTGCACTACAGAAGGTAGCTTGAAGACATTCCTGTGTTTGGCTGGCATCATGAGGGACTTCTCAGCTAAGAATCAAGCTAGCAGGGCATTGGCAGCACACCGCCAGACCTCTCCCATCCCCCGAGGGAAAACCAGCTGCTGCCTTGCCCTTGGGGTCCTGGTGCATGTTTGGGACATATGAATTCCCCACTGCCACCACTGTCTCAGGATTCTCTGCTATGACCCCTCCTTTCAACTGCAAGTTGGGGAACATTCAGATTTGAGCAGTGATATCGCTTGTCTCTGAGAGACTCTTAGCTACTGTCTGCCTGGGCTTCCCTATGCCTCATCCTCCTGCCCAGCTTCTGCTTCCCCAATGCTCAAGTTGATATTTTTAGATAATGTTTGTTTTATAACTATGTATCACAGAGTAGCCCTAAAGTAGCCATGTAGCTAAGGCTGGCCTCATACTGGCAATCCTCCTGCTTCAGTCTCCTGAGTTTCTCATATTACAAGTGTGCGCCACCATGTTCTGCTAATTAAATTTGATCTTAATCGGGAAAGAGCCACTCTGGCATCAACATCTGGCCAGCTCTCAAAGCCCCTCCTCTGTCACACTGACCCATTTTATAAGTAGAGACGGTGGCACAGAGTGGTCCAGAAACTCAGCCAGACTTCTAGACTCCATCTTTTGGGTTTAATTTCTCTTTGGTTTTATTCTGTAGCACCTCAGTTTCTAACTGTAGGCCATAAAGCTGTACCAGGGCACCACCATATTCTGCTACCAGTCTGGATGGGAGTAGGATGGAGTGTCACTTAAAAGAAAAATATGTATACAAAATTGGGCACACCTGAGCTTCCTGAGGCTTAAGTATCTCTGGACTGTGTCTCACTTCTTCACTGGGAACTTGCCCTCTACCCCGGTCTTCCCAGTTACTTCAGCCCTGCCTGTCAAAAATTGATCTCACAACCAAGCATGGGCCTCTCTCCACATCCTCTTGACCAACTCTCTTTGTCCTGTGAGTGTCTGGTGGGAAGCAACTGAATATTTCTTAGTTGAGCCACCAGCTTCCACAGCCTTCTCAATAGGGAAACCTTAGATCTGAATCAACAGGCATTCGTTGAGCGCCCCCTGTTGGTGGGTTCTACTGATAGGTGCCCAGGAAACAAAAATAAATGTTATCCCACCCTGCACCTAAAAGAATTCATATTCCACTGCAAGAGAAAGATGGGACTAGAAACTGTGGTTATTAATTATAGAGATGTGAGCCCCTGTGTGAAATCAAGAGAAGGGAGAGCTTCCGGGTAGAATATATAGGCTGCAGGAAGGACCGAATAGGATCAGATGAGAAGAGAGCACTGTACGGAGGAAGGACCCTAGGTTGGGGACCCTTAACCTGGAGGCCTTGGCTTGGGGCCTGTGGCCTTGGAGGAGAGTTCTTACAGCAACTGTGGGCTTGTGGCTCCGCAATGGAGGCATGGCACCAGCGGTGGAGGGTCGTGGAGGCAGCTCGGAGATGTTGGGGGGCTGCGGTGCTGGGCCAGGGGCTGGAGCCGGGCTGGCACTCAGGCTCAGTGTGCGGTGGCCGCGGAAACGATGCAGGAGGGCTCGAGGACATGTGGCTAGTCTACTCTCCGAGAGGCGCCGCCTGGCATCAGCCAGCTCAGACCTCATGTTCCGCAGCACATCTAGGGAACAGCGACGATGGCTTGTAGGGGAGCCAGGCTGAGGGCTGCTGGAGTCCATCTCCTCCTTGCTGTCAGAAGAAGCATCTTCCTCATTCCCTTTCTCTTCTGTTTCCCCCTCCTCCTCCTCCTCCTCCTCCTCCTCCTCCTCCTCCTCCTCCTCCTCCTCCTCCTCCTCCTTCTCAGGAGGTTCTTGCAGTCCAGCCTCTGGGTCTCTGATGTCGACAGGTTCAGGCACCTGACTGTATTTTGGACTGACCAGTAAGAACCAGGCTGGAGGTGCTGATGCAATCCCCGGGTCATTGCATGGATGAGAGCAAGATCCTTGGATGGCTGCTTCCACCCAGAAGAGAGCCTTCTTTTCCAGGCTGAAGTCATACTGCAGAGAGATGGACGACAGGAGGCTCAGCTGTGGCAAGCTACGGTCATGGGGCCATAGCCCTCAGTGCTGGCTTGGGGACCCTGTTCAATTGTCAGTTGGGAAAATCTCCTGGTTCTAAACTTTAGGTATGTATCCTCAGAGCCCACTCCCATCTTCCCTTACAGATATTTCTGGGATCAACAGACATCATATCAATTTAGTGGTAAACCCTGGCATGAAGGACAAATCAAGTGACGAATTAATAAAGTAACCACAGTAAAGTGCCAATATTTAAAAACCACTCTGCTTGAGGCTGGAGAGATGGCTCAGAGGTTAAGAGCACTGACTGCTCTTCTAGAGGACCCCGGTTTAATTCCCAGCAACCACATGTCAGCTCACAACTTTCTGTAACTCCAGTTTCAGGGTATCTGAAACTCTCGCACAGACATACCATGCAGGCAGAACACCAATGCACAGAAAAGTGAACACGCACACAAAATAAAATAAAGCCATGCACCACTCAATATGTCACTGAACAACAGCTACCTCAGAACCCTCCACTAGAGTTCTCTTGTGGTCTGGGGGCTTAGTTCTGATGGCAGAGTGCTTGCTTAGCACACACAAAACTCTGGGTTCCAACCCCAGCACCATGCAGACTGGGCATATATAGCCATGCATACCTGTGAGAGCTCAGCCCTTGAGAAGCAGAGGCAAGAAACCAGGAAGTTCAAGGTTCCTCTTGGCCACATAGTGATTTAAGACCATCCTGGGCTACATGAAGCCCTGTCTCAAAAAGCCAGCAATTACTGAATAAATCTTCTTCATTCTCTGGACCTCAGGTTTCTCATGAGCAAAACTGGTAAGAGCTGAACTTCTTTTTATTATTGTTTTGATATTGACATGTGCCTCACTATGTAGCCCAGGCTGTATGGGAACCCAGGTCTTCCTGCCTCGTCCTCCTAAATGCTTGGATTGAGTAGCATGTGCTACCATGCACAGAAGCCGCAGCCCAGATTCAAAGTCCCTGGTGACTTTAATTTCTAAGTTCATACGGATCTGTCTACTTTACGATACATCTATGCTATCATATGGGTAACTCTTCCACCTTAGCTACAGCCCCATGTTTTAGTACAAATGCGACATATCTCTCCCCTAAATCTTTAAGCAAACTTAATTCCATAGAAAGTTAAATATTTTTATTCTGAGTTTGCCTATGGCACCAACCCTGCA